CCCTGCAGCTCCAGGACTAGATGAGCTCCCTGTCTCCAGCCCAGCAAGGAAGACTCTGGACTGGACAGGCCCTCTCGCTCGGCCAGGGCGGAGGCGCTCACCCAGGCGGGGAGCCCCTGCCCGCTCGCAGCAGGCCGGCGGGGCAGCGGGTCATGGCTCCCTGCTCTGCAGGGGGGGCGGGCTGCCCGGGGCGCCCCAGGAGCTGGGTGGGGCCCAGCCGAGTGGGCGCCGGGCTGCGCAACCTTGGGAACAGCTGCTACGCCAACGCGGCCCTGCAGTGCCTGACCTACACGCCCCTGCTGGCCGGCTACCTGCTGTCCCGGCCCCGCAGAGCGGCCTGCCCCCGGCGGCCGCCCTGTGCGCTGTGCGCCCTGCAGGCGCACGTCTCCCGCGCCCTCCTGCACCCCGGGGAGGTGGTGTCGCCCGAGAAGGAGCTGCTGGCCGGCTTCCACGCCCGCCGGCAGGAAGACGCCCACGAGTTCCTGATGTTCACGGTGGACGCCATGCGGCAGGGCTGCGCGCTCTGGCCGGCGCACCCGCAGCCCGGGGGCAGCACCCTGGTGCGGGACCTCTTCGGCGGCTGCTGGAGGTCCCAGGTCCGGTGTGAGCGCTGCCGCGGCGTCTCCACCACGCTGGAGCCCTGCCTGGACATCGCCCTGGACATCCAGGCCGCCGACAGCGTGGAGCGGGCGCTGGAGGAGCTGGTGAAGCCGGAGAGGCTGGCGGGGGCCGACGCGTATCACTGCGCCGTCTGTGGGGACAGGGGCCCCGCGGCCAAGACGCTGGCCCTGCACGCGCCCCCCCGGGTCCTGGTCCTGGTGCTGAAGCGCTTCTGCGGCCTCACAGGCGCCAAGGTGGCCAAGCCGGTGCGCTACCCGCAGGACCTGGACCTGCAGGCTCTGGTGTCCGAGCAGAGGGCCGAGGCCCTGCGGTACGAACTCTACGCCGTGCTGGTGCACGCCGGCTGGGGGTGTCGCCAGGGCCACTACTTCTGCTACGTCAGGCCCTCGAGGGACCAGTGGTACCGAATGGACGACTCCGAGGTCACCGCCTGCGAGGCTTCCTCCGCCCTGAGCCAACAGGCCTATGTGCTCTTTTACATCCAGAAGGGGGCCCTGGAAGAGGCCGGCGGGCCGCCCCCGAGGCTGACCAGCACAGGCGCAGGCCTGCCCCCGGGGGCCCACCGGGCGGCTGCGGGAGACCGGCCCCCTGCTGGCCCCGAGTCCCTGGAGCCTGAGCAAGAGGCGCCGACCCAGCCGGTCACCTTGGACCAGTGGCGACGGCATCAAGAGCAGACGCGACCCAAGCCCCCCGTCCAGCTGAGGGAGGTGGACCGCGCCCTGCCCGCCAACGCAGTGGTGATCCACGGGCCCAGACACCCGGCGGGGGCCGGAGAGGCCAGCGATGCTGGCCGGCCGCACCCCTTCCCCTGGGCGGGCCCTGCCCAGGGGCCAGCACCCGCAGGCCGAGCCCCTGGCCCGGGAGGGAGAGCCAGCAAGGGCAAGAGGAGGAAGCCCCAGCGGGTCCTGCTCGCGTTCTAGGTGTCCACTCGCAGCCTCCGTTCCGGGCTGAGCCCATAGGAGCATCTGGACACGTGCTGTCCTGGCTGCGGGACCGCACGCCCCAGGGAAGGCCCTTCCGGCCCGAGCACCCGGGCCCAGCTCCTGGCGCTCAGCCCCGGAACCTGGAGTCGCGTCCTTCCCCCGCGGGGCCAGCAGGGTCCCGGGCTCCTTGTGGGCAGGGGCAGAGCCGCCGCTCCAGTGTGGCGGGCGCAGACGGTGCCCGCACGCCCGCACCTTGACTGTCTCAGGGCCCGTGTGGCTGCAGGCGCCCTCACGTGCTCCGAGCGGAAAGCTGCTTCGTGTCCGGCGTCAGTCACCCCTGCGGCGCGGACGGCGTCCGGCTCGAGGCAGGTGTCCGGGCCTGGAGCCGGCGGAGCGCTCTCTGGGCCTCTCCGTCCCGACCAGCCACGGGCTGCGTGGCTGGAGCGCACGTTTCTCTCTACTTAGGAATGTTCTGAAGTTGACACTGTTTCCAGCGTCACCGTCGCAAGCTCCTTTGAGACATTTAGCATTTTGCGACCAAAACTGTGGTCCCGGTCCTCACTGTGGCGGCCTGAGGACGCCGAGGAGCACAAAGAACTTCGACCTCCTGAACCCCTGCGGATCGAGGGAGAAAGGGGACCCCAGGGCCGTGGGGCGGCACTGCGGGGTCCCCTCCCTGCATGCCGACGGAGACTCCGGGAGAGCGGGGGTGGGGGGCAGCGCCAGGGTCCCTGGAGAGGCCCAGGGCGTGGCTGCTGACACCGGTGGCCCCTCCCTGC